ATACAGATACAGCTACATGGCATGCCGATTTAATTTGCCACAACAGTAAGCCGCCTAACACGGAGCTCTTTTCTTTCCTCGAAACTCGAACCCAGAAGCTGGAAGCTCGTAACTCGGAGAGCTCGAGTGCTGGGAAAACTTGTATAATCCAATGAAAACAAGCAGCTCAGCTGCGATTGATAAGGATAACGAGGACTACGACTCGGACTCAAACTCAAACTCAAACTCGGACTCCAACCAGGGGACTGGGAACCCTTTCTAAATAATACCGCATTTATCCGGACAGCCGCTTGGCTCATTTGACTGCTGCCAGGACGACAGGACATATCCTCCTCCTCGTCCGGTTTTTGGGCATTAAATCTTCGGCTTTGCCTCTCGTAAATACTTTGCAAAATGTTCATTTTAAGTGATGGAATTCATACTGGAATTTATAGGACTTAAAGGATGGTGTTTTGTTTTGTTTTGCTTTGCTTTTGGGGCTTGTGTCGTTGGAGGTGACGAACATTTTGCCAAGTGCAATTTACAGTAAAATTGTATGCATAATTTCCGTTATGACACTTGCGGTGAGCACGGAGACACACACATCCACAAACACGAATTTGAAGAGGCAAATGTATTTGCAGACTTGATGCATAGATAGATGTGGCCTACACATTCCTTTTACACCGAGGGAAAATCTAATGAAGGGTAAGTGATTTTTACTATTTTTTTAAATTTTATTTTTATTATATTATATTTATTTATATTTGTATATCCTCGGGGAGTAGTGATTTTTAGGTAGATTTCAAATTTTAAATTTACAAAAATTCATAAATGTTTAATAAATTATTAAAAACAATATGGAGATTTATAATTTTTTTATTTAATTAAAAACTGGCTTAAAAGAATATTCCCAATTAAATGTAAAAATTTTTTAACTTAGTTATGATATTTTTAAACTTTAATTTTCCAAAAAAAATGTATCGATAAAAATTCTACGATAATTTCAAACTGTCTTGAAAATATAAAGAGTTAAAATATATAAATTTATAACTAAAAATAAATCATAAAATTCTTTATAATATTTTTTTTAATATTAAAAAATTATAAATTATTAAGGAAAATAGTCAAACTCTGTAAAAGAAATTTTTACAATGTTTTTAAATATTTAAAAATATTTAAAAACTTAAAAAATCAAAATAGATGAACGCCGAATGTTTGTATGAATTATAAACCTTTGAATTCCCCTAATTTATTAGTTAACTTCTGCTTCTTCTCAATGTTACTTATAAAATATATATTAAATAAATTTTAAATATTTATTTAATTCCCTCAAAATTCCTTTGAGTGCATGCTTATATTTGTTAGAGGATCTGTAAGTAACTGGACGAGACGAAATACCATAGCTGCCTGCAGGCAGCATACTAATTTATGTTATCCGAGCCACTCCACTCCACAAAGTTGCTGTTGCTGTTGCTGCTTGGCTCCGTATATATGTTTATTTATGTAGAGAAATCAGAGTCGCAATACTCGTAATTACAAATTGCCAGATTCAGAGAGCTCCCAGAGAGTCAGAGTTCAAAATTCAGGAGCCCGCCGCAAGCCCCGACCAGTTGATATCCCCCCTCTAAATCCTTTTAATGCTCGCGCGCAGCCTTTGATTTTTGCAATATCAATTAGCGTAAAACGCGTAGGCCGCCAAAGAACTCAGGGAAAGGGGAGGGGCAGAGGCATTACAGCCCATAAGGATTTACAGCTGCTGATTATTTCATTAGGCGAAAGTAAATTTAAACGCCAGCCGCACGTTAAATTTATGTTAATTTCCAAAGGGCTGCCAGCCAAAAAAGGGCTGCCGGAACAGAGACATAGACCAAGGAGTAAGGATCAAGGAGGGGGGTAAGAAAGTGTTATAAAATGGTACAGACAGCTAGAGAAAGGGGAAAAGATAAACTGAAAAAATATACAAAAAATATACAAGTGAGAAACTAGTATGAAAATATTTGTTTTAAAATATATTTCAGCTTATTTTAATTTAATTTTTTAAAATTAAACTCTTTCTCTTAAAAATTCCACAAAAAAAGCTCTTATTATTGCATAAAAAATTATAATTACATTTATATAAAAAGAATACAAGTCTGGAAATATTTGTTATATTTATTTAATAATTTTTTTTTATTAATTTATTAACTTTTTTTTATTTATTTAATATTTTTTTTATTTATTTAATTAATATCCTAAGGCAACAAGGGATTTTTTGATTTATTTCACTATTTAAAACTTATTTCCATATAAATACTAATACTTTATCCAAAAATAAGCCTTTTTATACCCTTGCAGGGTATTATAATTTCAGTCAGAGACGTTTCGGACCCTATAAAGTATATATATTCTTGATCAGCATCAACAGGGGAATCTTTCTAGACATGTCAGGAAGAAATCGATTTTTTGGCCATTTTTGCGAAACTTGATAAGGGGTAACATCATTAAAATTAGCAAAAATGGCCATAAATTTTGATCATCATTAAAATTTTTGATTTTGATAAAAAATTGAATTTTGAAAATTTTTAAATTAAGTATGTAGATTTATTAACTGTAGAAAATCTTGCACAGAACAGTTTTCCGATTTAAAATTAATGCTCTTTTGGCCGAGTTATGATATTTTTAATTTAAAAAAATCAAGAAGTTTTTAAATATACAAAATCCGATTTTATAATGCAAAATAATATTTTTTTAAGTGAAGGAGTCATTTCCGACCCCATAAACCATATATATTCTTGATCAGCATTGAAAGGAGAATCGTTTAAGCCATGTTTGAGGGAAATCAAATTTTGAGCCATTTTTCGAAAATTTGATAATTTGATAATTTGATCATTAAAATTCTCAATTTTTGACCAAAATTAATTTTTCCAACTAAGTATGCAGATTTGTTAGCCTCATAAAAACTAACACAGAACAGTTTTCCGATTTAAAATTAATGCATTTTTGGCCGAGTTATGATATTTTTTAATATAAACAAGAAAGGAAGCTAACTTCGGCACGCCGAAGTTTGTATACCCTTGCAGATTGGTTTTTATGTTTATATTATAGATTTAAATGCTGAAAACACTTACAAAAACAGAGTTTCATTACATTTTACCTATACTTATTATGTTTACAGTTTGACAGTTACAGTTTTACATTCCCAGCTTTACATTTTCTCTACATTTACAGATCGTTTATATGGCAGCTGTATGATATAGTTGTCGGATTTTTATGAAATTTATACCAAAATTCTAGAATAATAAAAAAAGCTTATATCTCAGAGTAGATAAACATACGATGAAAAACAACGAAGCTATAATTTTTTTCCTATTTATTTCTCGATCGTTCCTATGGCAGCTATATGATGTAGTCGGCCGATTTGCATAAATTTTTTACCAAAATTCAGAAATAATATAAAATGGCCATATCTAAAAAATGGAGCAAAATTTTTGAAAAACAGCAAAGTTATAAATTTTTTTCTAGAAATGTATCGTACATTTGTATGGCAGCTATATGATATAGTCGTCCGATCCGGCCCGTTCCGACATATATAGCAGTGAGAGTATATAGAAGACTATATGCAAAGTTTCATTCAGATAGCTTTAAAACTGAGGGACTAGTTTGCGTAGAAACAGACAGACAGACAGACGGACAGACGGACAGACGGACAGACGGACAGACGGACAGACGGACATGGCTAGATCGACTCGGCTGTTGATGCTGATCAAGAATATATATACTTTATAGGGTCGGAAACGTCTCCTTCACTGCGTTGCAAACTTCTGACTGAAATTATAATACCCTGCAAGGGTATAAAAATCAGATTTTAAAATACAAAATAATATTTTTCTTAGTCAAGGAATCATTTCCGACCCCATAAACTATATATATTCTTGATCAGCATTAACATGCGAATCTTTCTAGACATGTCCGGAAGAAATCGATTTTTTGGCCATTTTTGCGAAATTTGATAAGGGGTTACATCATTAAAATTTGCAAAAATGGCCAAAAATTTTGATTTCTTAAAATTTTAAATTTGGTTTGCAGTTTTTTTAAATTAATAAAAACTAACACAAAACTGTTTTCCAAATCGAAACTAATGCATTTTTGGCTTAGTTATGATATATTTTAACTGTTACCTGCAAGGGTATACAAACTTTGGCTGGCCAAAGTTAGCTTTCCTTCTTGTTATTAATTAAACATAATTTTATTAAATTTTAGTACATCTCATATATGTATTTAAATTTAAATTTATAACTTACATGAATTTATTTAATTTAAAAAAATATATATTTCATCATTTTACTTCAATTTCATCTCCATAAATTAAACTCTTCCTCTTATAAATCCCACGAAAAAAAAACTCTGATTACTGCATAAACAATAATATTTATTAATAATAATTACCCAGCGATAGGCTAATGCTTTCGTTGCCATGCAGATAGAGAAATACTTGCTAATGGCTGGACTCTGAAATGAATTCCCCCGCCAGCAGCCGTACTATCTGCGGCTCACTTGACACAGAAAACATCGGATATATATACACATATATTGGTGCATATATCCCCTGGGCATCTCTAGTTCGTCATTAATTAACAACAAATCTGTGTTGATTGTCCGGCGAGCAAAACAAAAACAGAGAAGCGAGAGCAAGGTGCCGCCGCAGCCGGGCTTAACCCTTGGCTCCATCTGGAGCCGTGCCACTCGGAGACACCGATTCGGATCGTTCGCCGAAAAAGACCTCGCACATGTGTTGCCGCTGCTCTCGGATCAATGGCAACATCTGGCGGAGACCAGGCCGGACTGACGTATCTCCAACGGACTAATGAAGCCGGCAGCGGTTTAGATAAGCCACGGCTAATTATTCCCCAAGGAGCCCATCCGATTCTCGCCTCGAATCAGTGGAATCGAGTGATTGTTTGGATCGTGTCTCTACTCCACAGATATCGCTGTTGTCCGGGAATATTATAAATATTTGGACACTCGCCCGGACTCGGATCATTTGCATCATGGACTTCTTTGCAACCGGCGGCTTCCAGCAGCTCTACAGCGATCTGGACGATGAGCAGGAGCCGCTGGCCATACTGGCCGGGCTGCCAGACGACGATCCCAGTGGCTGCGGTTTCGAGTGCACCTATCCGGATGCCAGTTTTGTGCCCGATTGCCATCACCTGGAGGAGTCGGACTACTATGGCATCATCACCCTGAACAGCAACAATAATAACAACAATAATAATACTAATGGCAGTGATGTTCTGGCGGAGGAGATGGATCACTCCTTGTTTATAGACTTCAATGACTTGTCTTCGGTGTGTCCGCCGGATCTGAGTGACTGGGAACAGCGGCTGCTGGACAACTATGTGGAGATACCCGAACTGGTGGACTTTTTGCCCGAACGAACGCCCTTGTGCACGGATAACTGTGTGGATTTCCTGGAGGAGAGTAATAGTAATCTCAGACTGGCAGGGCCACCACCGCCACCATTATCACCGCCAGAGGAGTCGTCTGCCAGTGCTGCCCCCCAACTGGGTCTGAATGCCGCCGGTGAAAGGGGTTACCTGTGCACCTTTGGCGACTGTGAAAAGATCTATGCCAAGCCCGCCCACCTCAAGGCCCATCTGCGCCGGCATCTGGGCGAGAAGCCCTATCCCTGCAGCTGGCCGGACTGCAGCTGGCGGTTTTCCCGCTCCGATGAGCTGGCCCGGCACCGACGTTCCCACTCCGGGGTGAAGCCCTACAAGTGTGATTACTGCTCCAAGTGCTTTGCCCGATCGGATCATCTGACCAAGCACAGGAAGGTCCATGAGCGAAGGCTCCTGGCGGCCACGAGGGCGGGCAGACTGCTCTCCGATGACCTGTATGCGGTGAGGCCGGGCAGGAAGCGAAAGAATCAGTTATAGTTTAAGTGTTAGGTAGAGTGGGATAAAGCTGGAAGTATTTGTAATTACTTTGTGAATATTTTGGATTTTTTAAAATTAATTTAAATATTTTTTTTTAAAGAGGTTTAACTTTGAATTTCTTAATTTCTTAATTTTCTATATTTCTTGTATTTTTATTTTTTTAAGTTTCCTTAATTTTCTATATTTATTTTAATATATAAATTTTTTTAAATATATATATTTTTTTTAATATTTATTTTTTTTATGGGTTTCTTTTAATTTTCTTTATTTTCTTTATTTATTTAATTTTTTTTTATTATTTTTAAAGGTTTATCTTTAATTTTCTTAATTTTCTATATTTATTTTAATAAGTTTTCTTATAATTTTGTTAATTTTAAGAGTCCCAAGTATTTTTCATATTTCCTATTTTTGTGATAATTATAAAAAATCATTTAATTTTGTATTAAATTTAAAGCTTATGTTTTATTAAATAATGCCACACTTTAACCATTAGTTAAATCATTACGGATTACATTTAATTTTTTTGTTGAGAGGATAAACATATTGATTTAATTACAGAAATCATAAGCCAATGGTTAATTCATTTTACAGCTGACTGAGTTTCAAACCAAAAAAACAAGAGTCTGTCGTTATAATTGAACAAAAAAATGATGAAATAAGTTCATTTATGACGGCCAAGTAATTAATTTAAGTACATAATGTAAGGCATAATTTGATTTTATTGAAAATAAGCTGATAATGGGAATCACAATTTGAAACAAATTAAATAAAAGTAGATGTTTTGGTGGTGAATACATATTTAACTTAATTATAAATATTTATAAAGAAAGGAAGGTTCTAATAGAGTTTTAGATACATTTTAGTAGAAGTTTCTGAGTCACAGGACCTCAAACTTTTAGAAATTCCTTTTTCAAATTCCCTTTTACTTTTCTCCAAACTTTAATTCAAATAAAAAACATTCACAAATTAAATTAAAATAAAAAATATACAAGAAATGCAACACAGTGAGTCTGGTGTGTTGGTGCTTTATCACACCCGCCAAGGATTCCCCGGCTCGCATCCTTTCTGCGCTGTCATATCGCATACTTTACGGCTTTCAGGGCGAGTGCTTTTGTACATTTGAAGTGAATTTACAGCGCAACTTGCTTGTATAATGGCATTTACTTTATGCAAACATTGCATTGCAGCAAAAGCGGTAGCCCCAAGGAGACCCCCTAACAATTATTGCCGCCCTCGTTAAGGTTATAACTACCCCACGCCCCACGCCCCCGGCCTGGCCTTCCCCTTTTGCTTATTCGAAAGTAATTAGCATAAAAATAAATACCACTCATTAAGTCATGTTGTTTTTATCTATTTACTGTTTGATATTGCCGTCGTCTCCGTCGGAGTCGCAGTCTTTGGAGTCTTCAGAGTCCTTGTTTTTGTTTTTCTTGGCGTTGATGTCCTCCGGTTAATTTCTTTGTAGGGAAGGAGGTCTATAGAGGTGACTCCTCCTCTCGGTAAATGCAGTCCCCCCCACAGCGAGGAACTGGTTCAATTAGCCCAGGAGACAGGCGGCGGGAAGAGGAATAGGTCCTGGGTAAGTAACACATTAACTACACATTGATTCAGGCTGGAAATTGTAACCCTTTCTCTACAAAATAAATTCATTTGTAAATATTTAAAATTAATTAACATTACAAAGATGTGTTTTTATGAAACTTTATTCAAATAATAATTATAATAAAATATTTAATAAACATAAATATATCAAATAAATATTTAAAAAATATTTTAATCATATTTAAAAAATATATTCATAGGTAAAACCTTCCACCTTTACAAAAAAATATGTAATGCACATTTTTTTAAACACTTATTATACAAAAATATTTAATAAATATAAATATATAAAAAAATATTTTAAAAATATTAAATAAAATATTTTAAAAATATATTCATAGGTAAAACCCTTTTTTTTACAAAAATAAATTCTGTTTTAAAGAATTAACATAATAAAATTACATAGGCCCGTTTTTATGAAATATTAATTATAATAAAATATATAAGAAACATAAATATATAAAATAAGTATTTAAAAAATATTTTAAAAATATTTCCATACGTAAAACCCTTTCCACCCTATACAAAAAAATATTTAATGTACTTTTTTTAAATACTAATTATAATAAAATATTTAATGAACTTAAATATATTAAATAAATATTTAGAAAATATTTTAAAAATATTTAAGAAATATATTCATAGGTAAAACCGTTTTTATTTACAAAAATAAATTCTATTTCGAATAGTTAAACATTATAAAATTACATAGACCTGTTTTTATGAAACTTTATTCAAATAATAATTCTAAAAAATATATAATAAACATAAATATATAAAACAAATATTTAAAAATATTTTTAAAATATTAAAAAAATATTTTAAAAATATTTCCATACGTAAAACCCTTTCCACCCTTTACAAAAAAATGTTTAATGTACTTTTTTTTAAATACTAATTATAATAAAATATTTAATGAACTTAAATATACAAAATAAATATTTAAAAAATATTTTCATATGTAAAACCCTTTTCAAATTACCAATTGCAATACCCCGCAAGCCCTTCTAATGAAAATCCCACACCTAAAGCCTTTGATAGACCATTCCAAATGAATGGCTTAGCTGGGCAAATGGATAACTTTCACCCAGCTGCAGGGATAACTCCTTCCCCTCAGTATAACGTTCTTCTTTTTTTTTTTTTTTTCCACAGACATCCGATAAGTCGTCTCAGCTTTAACAGGGATATATCTGCTATGGCAAAGTAGCTTGCCGCTGGCTTATGGATAAATTTGCTTTTTGTCGCTGTCGCTGAGCTGCGAGAATTCCGATTGCAATTTTAATTAGATGCCACACACACACACACACACTGTATATGTTGGCGACATAATGGAGGTGCAGATACACACATATCCTTGCACCAGAAACACGGAAACATCAATGCGAGGACAAAGCGCGATATAGTCGGAGAGAGAATTCAATTAAATGTTCATCAAAAACTACAAGAAAAAGTGTTGAGTGTGAGTGTGAGTATCCATGGATGGCGGGTCTACAGAACAAAGGATAAGGACAAGGACATTGGGAGAGGAGAAGGAGTAGAAGCAGGGCATCAGCAGGACCTTGATGATGACAATGGCAACGCCTGTGTAACTCTGTGGCTCACTGACTCCTTACAGGCAGAGGCGGCGTAAGAGGGTGAGTAATAATTAATATAAAATATATACTTTTTTATTTAAAATTTTTAAAAATAATTTATTTAAGTTTCAAATATTTAATTATTATTATAACATATTATTTAATTTAATTTTTTTATTATTTAATTAAAATTTTAACAAAATATTAAGAATTTAAAGTACATTTTACGTTTTAAATAAATTTCAACATTTTTAAAATACTTTTTTAATTTTTAATTAATTAATTTCAATTTAATATTTAATAATTAGTACAAGATATATTATTTTCTTTAATTTTTCATTATTAAATTAAAATCTTAACAAAATATTTAAAGGTAATCTATATAAAAATCAAGCATTTAAAGTTAAAGATTCTTTTTAAATATTAAATATTTATTAATTTATTTTTGTTTATTTTTAAATTAAAATGTTTACAAAATATTTAGTAAATATTTATTAAATATTTATTTATTAAATATTTAGTAAGTAAAAAAATCAAGATTTTAAAGTAAACGATTTTCTTTTAAATAAATTTCAAAGTTCCCCCCTGAAAGTATCTATGTATCTGCATCTATAACTACCACTGTATCTGTATCTGTATCTGTATCTGTGACTGTCTCTGTCTCTATGCCTGTGTGTGTGTGTGCCTGTGTGTGTGTAACTTGGCTGTAATCAGCAGCAGAAGCCAAAGAAGACGAAGAAGGTAAGGCAGAGCTGCTAGCAGGAAGAGCACAAAAGTTATAAAATCCCAGATAGATAGTAATTGCAACAGTTCTGCCTTTGTCTAGCACTGCTTCTTCCTCTCTCTCTCTCTTTCTCTATATATATATATAAATGTATATATATATATGTGTATGCTGCTGGTGAAAATAAGCAGGAAACTGGAAATTTCAAATGATACGGAAATAATGCGATATCATGAATCATTTTTATGAGAATCGAGACTTTGATTCTCAGGGGCCAGCGATTGGCAAGGGGTTTTGTACCCCCTTCCCTTATACCTATATATATACAGTAAGGGTATATATATCACATACATATATATACAGGGGGATATACTGCAGCAGCAGCTTGAGTTTGTGTCAACAAATTTGCATTGCATTGGGCGACCAACTGGCGGCGGCCACCACACAAATAATGTCAACAGCATTTCCACTCATCAATAAGTGAAATACATAAAATATATAGGAAAAAAAAAAAGGGAAAACTGAAAAGGAGAGAGGGGAAAGAGGGGAAAGAGGAACTGGAACTGGTAACAGCTTCCAGTAAAAATTCAGGGCGCATCGGGTTCCGTTCTGTTTCCATTTCCATCTTCAAGCTGAGGCCAGGAAAAGCTGAAAGCTGAAGGCTGGCATATTTATTTTCCCGCTTTTCCTTTACCACCCCCCCTCCCTACCGCCCTTTGCTGCTGTCGCATTCTTGATTTAGCAAATTGACTGCCATGAAAATGCGGAAAACTTGCGGAAAAGTTGCCAGCGCTTAAAGCGTACAGGAATGCGATTCCAAGTTCTTTGGGCCAGGTATTTCCTTGGCTCAAAAATTCCTAAAAAAAAAGCAACTAAAGCCAAGGCAAAGCCAGCAATTGGAATGCCAAGGTTAACATCAGAAAAATCTATATTTCAATCAAAAAGGTTTTACCTTTGACTTTTAGGTGACTTTTTTTTTTTGAGAACCTTTTGCTGATTTTATAATTGTTTTTTATGTTTGTTTATGTTTATTTGCATTTTTTGTATTTATTTTAGAAAGAGTTTTCTAAATTAAATATTTTTATAATTTTTTGTTTTATAATTTTTAAATTTATAATTTATAATTCATAATTTTACATATTTTATTGTGTT